CAGAGCTCGCACCTGATCCGCCACCGCCGCATCCACACCGGCAACAAGCCGCACAAGTGTGCTGGCTGCGGCAAGGGCTTCCGCTACAAAACGCACCTGGCGCAGCACCAGAAGCTGCACCTGTGCTAGGGCCAGAGGGAGGCGGCGCTCTGGGGAGCAGGTGGGAGAGGAGACAGACCCTGGAGGAGGCAGGAGCCGAGATGGACGATCCGGCCACGCCTGGGGAGCCTTTGGTGTTGGGGAAGGGGGGCTGAAGGGGAGTGTTGGATAAGAGTTTTTTCTTTGGAGGTGCTGTATTTTGCCTGCCTCTTCCCTTAAGAAATACTTGGAAGGCATGCTTACGATTGACAACTTCATCAAATACACAGTGTAGGAGGGGCGGCGAGCTGGGAGCAATAAGCGAGCTGGAAGGCTGACAAGAGGAGCACAAATAGAGTGAGGTGTGCCACAGAACCCGCAGAGGCGTGCGTGGAGTGAGGGTTGGTGGGTAAAGTAAAAAGCAGGTGTAGATAACTGTCCTGGTGCCAGCGGGTGTTAAGCCACTTTCCCCTGCGGCCCCTCCTCACTCCCTCCCCTACCTGCAATCAGGTCCCTCTTGTAGGAGGGACTAGTTTCCATACTTGGTGGCTCTAGGAGCTGAGGTTTGGGCTGGGATTTTGAGGTGTCCATGGGAAACTTGTGGAGTAAAGCACAAAGCCTCATTAGACAGTCATTCATCATTGGCTCTCAGATCTCCCCGGAAATCCAAGTCTTCTTTAAAATACTCTAGCTTCCTGCTGGGCCAATGTGGTAGAAAGTCCAAGGACCAGGCCCCTGCCCCTGGTGTCAGAGGGTACCAGGCCCAGTCTTTCCTGCAGGTCTCACTTGGGGTCTTTAAAACGCAGGCAATGGAACCGTGCCACCTATCTGCGGCTGCTCCTTTCCTAAGTCAATTTGATGCTGTTTCAAATGAGCCTTAGACCAGAGATAGTTGCCCCAGAGTCCTACCCCCAAAGTCAACCAGAAAGCAGAGTGTTGCACACAGGTGAGGCCCTGGTGTTTCTTTTGCCTTCCCTGTGCATCTGTGGGACGCCCCCCCCCCACTGCTTTACTAAGGGGGTGGCTACCCAAACTTCAACTTTGATGAGGGGCCTGGTCTGAATAGGAATTTCTTTTTCCTGTGTGTAGAGGGAGGCAGAATGGGAACCTTGAGGCTTTACATGTGGGGCGGGGCAGCTGGGTGGCGAGCAGCCAGAGAGAGGTGTAAATGCAGAATTGCCAAATAGCACAAGCAATGAATGTTTTCTGGTGGGTCTACGAATGCCAAAATAGCACTTTTATATTTGCAAAGTGCTTTATGCTTTTTCATGATTGTTGTTTCTCACATCTTTGTGATTGGGAAGTTCAGTATTATGGCCCCTGACTTAGGTAAGCCTGGGTACAGGAGTGCTTCAGATTGTCCTGCAGAGAGGCTAACAGCGGTGTGAATTGGTGGAGGGAGCCCTGGTGATGTAGTGAGTTACGTGTTGCACTGCTAACTGCAAGATCAGCAGTTCGAAACCACCAGTCCCTCTGCCACAGAAAGAGGGGGCTTTCTACTCCCGTAGAGTTAGACAGTCTCGGAAACCCATAGGGGCAGTACTACCCTGTCCTATAGGGGCGCTGTGAATGCAGTTCAATTATGCTCACCAGCTCAGCTGCTAGAGAGACTGGCCTGCCACAATTTGAATAACAAACCCAAATAACTCACTGTCATGGAGTCAATTCTGACTCAGTGCTCCTACAGGACACCCCTGGGTTTGCAAGACTAACTCTTTCCTGGAGTAGAAAGCCCTGTCTTGCTCCCTTGGAGCACCTGGTAGTTTCAAACAGCTGACCTGAGGGTTAGCAGCCAAGCTCATAATCCACTACACTCCCAGGGATTCTCTATGCCAGCATAAGGACAGTGAACGTTCTTATTCCTAAGACTGGTCTAGAAAGGCCAAAGATACCCTTGTTGACAGAGCAGGCCTTGTCACCTAATTAGGGTGTCCAGAGCTATGTTCCATTTTTAGCAGGGAGCTATAGTTAGATCTCTCTTGTGTAATTTCAGTTACCTGGCGGAAAATCCCTCCCATAGGTTAATCCTTAGAAGTTAGGGTTGTGGAAAGCAGTATTGTTTTCTTCACTAGAGATTGTTACCCTGCACCTCTTCTGAAAGTAGCTTCACAAACTATTGAACATTCTTGAAGGTAAACAATTAAAGGGGGTGGAGGAAAGCTACAAGATTATTACCATGTACACGTTATTATGGTTTCAGCAAGGATCCCGCAGATGCTGATAATTTATATTTGATTAGTTGTATTCTAGCAAAGAAACCTTGGGGACTGTAGGAGATCCTGTTTGGCTTTGTTTTGTTTCCATTCTAAAAGAGTTTTTAAACAAATCCTGACATTCTAGACATATAATGCCTGTTGCTCTTACGCTCTTAATCAGTTGATTGCTGCTCACAAATGCAGATCACTTTTCGAAATAGATAGACATTGTTTTCTTTTCATCAGGAGCAACACAAGCGAAGTATGTGTTTACATATATATTCAGACTCATGTCTGAATACTAAGTGTTAGACTCACCTTAAAGTAATCTAGCCAATGTGTAGAGCATCTTCTCCCTGGCTTTCCCATCCCTCCACCTCACCATGCACATCTACCTCTTCCAACTGTTTTCTGATCACAAATCTGTGCCTGTGAAATCTCATCTGCTTTCTAATTTCCTGGGCCTTTTGATTGTCTGCTTTCTAATTTCCTGGGCCTTTTGCTGTTAGTCTTTATGCTGTTGCACAGTCTCACCTGCTTCAAGTAGGTTATGTACCAACAGTTTTAGGGAAAGGGTTCCTGTGGAGAGGAGATCATGTAAAATGATTAAGTGGCAGTGGACACAGCTGATTTCATTTATTTACCTCTCCTGTTTGTCTCTTACCAAGAGAGCCCGCTGCTACTTCCGTTTCCCGTCTTTGAGCCAATCCCTTAGAATAAGAAAATGGTTCCACCACGAGCACCCTACTCTCATGGTGCATTTCAAAGGTGATCCCATTTTCTGCTACAATTCTTCAGGGCACAGATCTGCATTAAGTGGGAGTTAAATGCATCCAGGAGGCGACCGCTAGAATTGAGTTTCCGATAGTCTTCAGTTGTCAGTATTTCGTCAGCAAACCCCATTGGGGAGGGGGGGGGGTCCACCCTGGAGAATGCTCATCCACGCCTCAGTAATGATTGTGAGAGCAAAGGTATTATTTGTCTCCTGGGAAGTCTGGCCAAAGGTGAGCTTCCTCCCCTGCCCTTTACTGAGTAAAGCCTGGAGCAGTTGACAGAGGCTAAACCGTGCCATTGCACTTGAGATTTGATGAGACGAAAGAAGTTAACCCCTTGAGCCATGTGGTCTTTTCAAGATCAAGAGGCTGTACGTATGTGAAAAAGTACAAAGAACCTGTGTTCAAAGACAATCTGAACTGTGTTTCTGAAGTCTGCCCATTCTGCTCTGCTGTAATGTTTTACAGCTGTTTTTTAAAATGGTGAATAATTTTAACGGTCCTAAAGGTTACCGGTATTGCGTGAATGTGTGCTTGTGTATGTGAGAATTGCCTTTTCCCCAGGTGTTTTATTTAATGATAGTTCTTTGGACAGCCTTCTGGTGTTCAGCAACCAAGATGGAATATTTGTCATTAAATCCGTATCAGTCTTTTGCCACGTCATTTTTGTCGGTCCTTCCCATCATTTACATGTCAGCCGGCTCTGGCTATAAGCCTTGTGAACAAGAGGTGGGAAGCTACCAATTCCAGCCTGCCTCTTTGGGTGAATAAATAAAGTTTTATTGGAACACAGGCGCATCCCACAAATTCACTTTTGCAAGCAGCTCACCAGCAACTGAAAGGTTGGCAGTGCCAACCCACCCAGAAGTGCCTCAGGAGAAAGGCCTGGCGTTCTCATTCTGAAAGACCTGCTGTTGAAGACCCTGTGGAGTGCAGATTTACCCTGACACGCATGAGACACACATGAGTCGGAAATGGTCATGGCGACAACTGATCAATCTGCTGCTTTCATGCTACAGCCCCAGGGCTGAGAAGCTCTGACCGGGAGGCACTTTAAAGTCCTCAGTGTTGAGACATTTACAGAAAAACGTGTGGGCCCCTGTGCTCAAATGTGCCTCAGCTGGCTCCTAGATGAACCTAGAATTGCCCAAAGGAATTCTTCTAACCAGGAAGTCAGCACTTCTGCCCTGATGCGGCTCAGGAGTGTGGGGAAAGTGTGAATGTCATACCACTGGTTTGATATCCAAAGCTATCAAACCAGCCTCACTTTTCATAGCAGGCTTAGCTGTGGGGAATAGACAATAGGGAGATAACTTGAAGGGAGGCAGTGTTTTAGGTCTGGTCACTATTTAAAAAAAAAAAGTCCTGATTCACCAAACAAAGTGTTTTCTTTCACAGAGGGTTCAGAAATGTAACTTAATAGATACTGATAAAATGAAAGGCTGGGAACTCACACCCACTAGACAGGCCTTTTGCTCCAACTATTTTTAACTCATCTCTGCCCAACTTCATGGAAACAGTTCCTAAGGAAGAGAGTCACACGAACAGACAAGAGGAAAAGAAACGCTTTATTTTCTTGTAATGATCACCAGGTCTCCCTTATGTGAACATCTGCGGGCCCTTTCTCTGTCTAGGATGGCCACGTGAATGCCAGCTCTGAGAACCGAATCCCCCAGTAACCCAGTAGTTAGAGGCTCCGCTGAAAACCGAAATGGTTGGCCTTGGAACCCACGTAATGGCTCTTCCGGAAGGAAGACTGTGTAATCCTTGGCAGAGATTATAGCCAAGAAAACCCTAAGGGGCAGTTCTGTGTCACATGGAGTTACTATGAGTCCAGGCCAACTAACTGGCATCCCCAAAGGGCAGATGGAATAGGAGCTGTAGTGCACTGTGGCCACAGCTTCATCCCCCAAACCTGACCATTTCAGCTTACAACATCTACCAGGCTAGAACCTGGTCCCAAGTTCTCTAGGAAAAGAACGTTAAAATATAAAGTAATGCTACAATAAAGTAAGAACTACAGTATATTTATATATTGTATTAAATTATTATCCACAAAAAACCCAAACTCACTGCCAATGAG